AAGTGGAAAGTGGAAACAACGTTCATGTTTGTGTTTTTCTGGTTTCAAACTGTTGCTTTTTTAGCTCAGTATTGTCTAGCAGTCTGTGTGTGTCTGAATCTCTTCTGGTCTCTTTAATGAAAGCCCAATAAATTAATAAGCTGGTTCAATGACCTGCTAGTAGAAAGCAACTGTTAGCTTTGTACCACTACATAATTTATTGTTGACTAACACTATCACCGTTTGTCAGAATACTTAAGTTAGTATCGTGGATCACGTTAGGGGAAGCTAACATTAGCTGGGGAAGTCGTTCTACAAGCTAACGTCTAATTGTTTAAGTTGCATGTGAACCCGTTCACTCATTGGCAATAAAAAGTGACTGATACATAAAGATAAAGACATATGAAACCCATAATAAAACCCACTGAACAATCAACCTATGTGAACATATTAATTTAACTGCAGTCACTGGTAGTGTTTCTTGTCTTATTTAGTGTGATGATTATCTGTTCTGTTGTGCTGCTGAACTCCAGTCAGCTAACTCGACTCTTCATATGGTGATGGGGTTCAGAAGCTCAGCAACACAAGTATTGGACCTGGCCCAGCCCCCGTCTGGCTCCGCCTCCTGCAGCAGTGATGAGGACTCCCCTGTGTCCAGCTGCGTCTCAATTCATAAGGTCCACCACAGACCCACCTGGACAGTCTGATGAGCTGTGACTCTTCTGAACTCCTGGTGCACACCTGGACCTGTGTCACACCTGTCGGAGACCGGGGGGCTTTCTGTCTCTGAGCCAGAGGGTTCAAGTGAACAGCAGGACCCTCCAACACCTGCAGACCAACCAGAGAACACACCTGGATGACAATCAGAGAGCACATAGAACAGGTGTTCAGGAAGATTGACAACGAGAAAATATATACAGCAAGGACAGGATAATGTAATAATATAATGTAATATAATATAATGTAATAATATAATAAAATATAATATATGATATAATATAATGTAATGATATAATGTGATGTAATAATATAATAAAATATAATATAATATAATATAATATAATGTAATGATATAATGTAATGTAATAATATAATGTAATATAATGTAATATAATATAATGTAATAATACACACACACACACACGCGCACAGTGAGTGCTGATGTAAACAGTCTGTGGTCTCGTCAGGTTAATTAGTCCTGACGACCTGCTCAGTTTAATCCTTCTTCCTCTGTCAAACCAACCAATCAGAGCTGTTGATGTCATTCTCTCCCCTCCCCCACCCTGTGTGTCTGTGTGTTCAGTGTCTTTGTGCGGTTGCCGCGGCAGCAACAGTTTGAGGACGGAGCTTTTATGAAGCGTCACTGCGTTCCTCTGAGAGCCGACCACGACCTGCTGACCCCCGGCACACTGTGAGTACATACAGTACACACACACACACAGTGAGTACATACAGTACACACACACACAGTGAGTACATACAGTAAACACACACACAGTGAGTACATACAGTACACACTGTGAGTACATACAGTACA